CTTCATCTTGGAAATGGAGCATTTCTCTTTAATTTTTAGAAAGGAGACTCTTCCTCCTCTAGTGCGAAATTTCCTTTCTGATTTTTATTCCTGCAGTCTCTTTGCAAATGAGCAAATTTATTACAACTAGAATATTGAGATTTACCTTTATGCCAACAATCTTTTTTATCATGATTAGTGTATTTGCAAACACCACACGGTGGAAATTTTCCTTTTCTTGACGATTCGCTCACTGTCTTCATAATGAAGGCTTGCTTTGTTGGTTTGTCTTCTCTAAATGCTCTTCGTTGCTCTACAGCTTCTAGTGCATTAGTTAACTCAGAAACAGAAATTATTGAAAGATATTTGGAATCTTCAAGAGATGAAATTTTGGACTCAAATTTTTTAGGAAGACTAACAAGAATTTTTTCAACAACTCTTTTTTCTGGAAATTCTTCATCAAGCAATCTAATTTTGTTAACAATTGACTTGAGATTGTTAACATAATCATTAATGCTCTCAGATGCTTTCATTCTTTGAATCTCAAACTCCCTCTTCAGATTCAAAACTTGCATCAATCTTGTTTGCTCATTGCCTTGATACTCATTTTTGAGTAAGTCCTAAATTTCCTTTGCAGTTTTATATGCTATAATGCTTGTGAAAATTGACTCCGAAACAGAAGAATGAAGACATATTTTAGCTTTGAATTTTTTGGCTTTTTCTTCACTATAATTTTTAATTTGAGCCGCAGTTGATTGGATGATAATGCAGGGATTTTCTACATGCTCTCATAAATCATAAGCTTGAAAATAAGCTTTCATTTTAACAGACCATAGTTTTGATAATTTTCACCAACAAAAATTGGAGGGGAAGTATAAGGAGGATTGTTTGTGGCCGTCCCAAGTCTTTTTTTTTAGGCTCAAGGATCAAACATTGCTCCGATGCCAAATGTTGAGATTTTTAAAAATGAAAATTTGTTATTTTATTCAAGGTAAAGAAACCTTTATATACAAACAAAAAAAAAAAAAAGCTTATCAAACTCCAAGTTTTACCTAGTCTATTAACTAAAATAAAATAGAAATTCACTAATTATTCAATAATAAAATAAATAGATAGTAATTTCTACATTAATTCCTAACATAAACTAGGGTATGTTAGGAAAAAGGAATTTTTAGGTAAGTAGAGAATACCTAGAGGCCCAAGAGGATTCTCTCTAATAAACTTGGAAAAAATAACCTTATAGCTTTAGGAAAGGAGTGCCTTTTCATAAAGGAGGTCAAGGCTGGGGCTCTCAACTTAGGAGTATATCACATTATTATACCAAAATTTTAATTTTTCACTTAACACTAATTGTACTTCTATTTTTGTCAACAATAAAGGGACTCTTCTTAAGTTCTAATAAGAATTGAATCAAAATGTTGATGTGGCAAGAATAATATAAAAAGATCATAATTTTTTTATTCCATATATGCCATGATAATGGACTTTTCTCCATCTCACCTGTAGCTTTTTGTGGGAGTCTTTCTTCTCACTGAATTCATTCTCTCTTGTGTTGAATCCATCTTCTTCCGTTGAGTTCTCTCTTTTTTTGTTTATTTGTAAATTTTTCTCTAAAAGATTTTGAGAGAATGAGTTTCAATCTTCTTCTATAAAGGATTTATATTGTTGTTACTACTACCTCACAGTTTTATGATTTATATTCTAAATCTAGTTAGCCACTATATGCATGATCCCCACAGTTTTCATCTAGAAGTTTTTGTTTTTCGAAATTTCAAGTATCTAAATTTGGAAAAAGGATTACTCTTTTCTAAACATAGTCACCTCAAAATTGAAACTTTTATTGATGCTAACTAGTTTTTTTAAACATGCAGTACTCATTATATTAACTCGTTATATGATTTTATAATTCTTTTTGTATTATTTTTCCTGCTTATTTTCAAAATTTTAATTTGTGCATGATAAGTTGTTGAGAAAGATATAGATAGACTCGGTACTTTTTATTTTATTATCTATTTTAATGTTACACATCCATAAATATGGAAAAAAAATATTAAATAGTTATTAAAAATTATAATTACAATTGTTCCATTTGCTCGATCAATCTCCTTCTCCCTATAGAAGAGCTATTGGATTAATAAATGTTTTAGCAATTTTCAGAAAATCATTTTACTGCAAATTTGAAGTCACTATCTTTATTATTTTGAACAATATTATATTTTTAACATCATTGATGAAAATTTTGAATGTATTTTGCTACCTATTTAGTAGCAAGACCTCCTTGTAGATGACGTTCTTTGTGTATGTTGCATTGTTCTTTTTTTTTTTTTCTTCTTAATCAACTTTATAAGGACCTTTGTTGTGGACAACAATGTCCCTCTTAATAGTATCGTGTAGAGTTGTTTGTGTGAGAAAGCTAGAAGTGGGCATTCAGTCAGTTTGATCCAGCCTGGACTGAATCAACTCAAACCAACTGAACCAAAATTAAAACACATAGCAAATTGACTTGACTAAAATAGGAACAAAAATTGAATCAAACTGGTCCGATTCGATTCAAACTATTCGGTTATACACAATAATCTGAATTATTATTATTTTGTCTAATAAAGAAATAGAAAGAGAAAACAAAAATTTGATAATTAACTGCATGTGTAAATATATAATTTATGGCCATAAATCCAATAAAGAATTAGGAAGTAGAAAACATATATATAATCCAACAATGAAAAATAAATAATGTTAATCCATCAAGTATATAATCCACGAGCTCAATTTAAATAGTGCAAGCATATATTGCTAAGTGTTCACAAAAGGAAAAGGATAAATAAAATTCAACTTCTAACAATTCATAATTTAATAAACTAAATGGTAATAAAGTTTGTTTTTATCAAATTTAGTTTCTAGTAAATCTAATCCTAGCTAACCCCTTCATTGTAAACTCAAGCCATAAGAAGGTAATGAAGTAAAAAATTTCAGCATCTTCAAAAATAAGCCTAGCATTTGTAAAAACAAGATAATTCTATAAGACTTAGCAACTTATGACAAAAGCACATCAAACCCTTCCATATTTCCATACTTATATTTATTTACTTTTTTATTTCATTCTTTGAAAGAAATAGAAATTTATGTTTTATATAATTGTCAAGAAAAAATTCCACAAATAAGGAAAATTTATAATCATTCAAAAAAATTATTTAATAATTTAAATGTAAATAAATATCAACATGAATAAATAAAAGATAACAATGCTTACTTATTATCAGGTGTCATTTTTATTTGAAGAATTAACATCCATAGTTGATAAATCTGTAAACATTAGAATTAACATCCACAGTTGATAAATCCGTAAACATTTGAAAACAGAATTATATATATCATGTTAGTCCAAATTAGATTCACATCTATATTAAGAATAAAAAATATTTTTTTCAAAGATGTAAATAATATTAACATACCGTCTTCAAACCTTTGAAGTTCCTCTAAATCTTTTTAATATTTATGGGGCGAGATGAAGATTGCAACTAATCTTGTGCACATGTGAGAGTTTCAACTATTCTAGGAGATAAAGAACTCCTAAAGGCATCAAGAACTCTATCTCTAATCTTGAAGCAAGACTTTGGAGTAACTGCGGAAAGATGAATGACTATATGTCTCGAACCATGTATGAGGACATGAAATTTATTGCAATTTAGTTTTCACCATTTCAGTATATTAAAATTTTTCTTATCCACCACAATAACGATCTCACTCAAGTAAGCATCTAAATCTGATTTGCAAATTATATCACCACTCTCTATTTTTTGCTTCATAAACTCATCCCCCAAGTCAACTCTACTTGATTGTATATGTTTTTTAAAAATAAATTTCAAATAAATACACAAAATTAAGCCTCTTAAAGTTTTTCAATTTTACTGTTTAAAATTTATTTTTAAACAAAATGAACATATGTGTATGGGGGGAGGCAAATAGTTAAAAATTTTAATTTCAAAAATATATATATATATTTAAAAGATAATTGTTAAATTATTAAAAGTATTTCTATGTTATGTTTGTTAGAATCTTGTAATTGTTATAATATATTGTGCATGTATTAGGGTGATATTCAGTCTTAATGAAATGGCTCGAAATTTTATTTTTAAAATCGATCAAATTAAATTTGATTTTAAAAGCCGCATAAATATTGATCCTTGAATCAAACCATTTTAACTGGATCGATTCTCACAAATCATATAAAATCTAAATAATCTCAACCCATTCTATAAGTACTAAATCAACTTTGTGAGGAAGTCTACAAAAACCAAGGAAATTATTTAAACAATAATAATAAGAATAATAAAAAGGGCTAAACCTTCAATTTCATTATGAACTTTTTGAATAGTTGCAATTCCACTCTAAATCATTCTTTGTATTTTGGGCACCCTAAATTTATCACTCTAATTGCAATTACACCCCTAATTTATTTTTAGGGTGCAATTTCACATTAAAAATAAATTACAATATCCTGAACTCGTCAATTGTTACAATTTACCCTAAAAGTAAACTGAAGTTGGAATTTTAATTAAAAAAATGTAAAAGAATGAACTCCATAACCAAGTATTTAAATAATAAATAATAAAATCAAACTTAAGTATTTGTATGATAAATAAATAAAATCAAGATTGAATATTTGATTTTAAAATTGAACTAATTTTAAAATACAAAAATAATGAGTTAGATATTAATTTATAAAAAAAGATAAATACCAACATTGAATGGGAAGAGGGCGAAGTTAGCTTTATGAAAATCGTTTTTTGCTTCAGTATTATATAAATATATAGATTAGGGTGCAGTTGTAACTAGTTGATAAGTTTATGATATCCATAATACAAATATTGATTTAAAGTGAAATTGTAACTAGTCCAAAAGTTCAGGGTGAAATTAAAGATTAGGTCAAAAAAAACAAACAAAATAACCTAAAATTTCTCCATAAATCCTCCCCCCATTTTAATCACTTTTTCTTTTTCTTTTTCTTTTATTTTCTTTAATTTCTTTTCCCTTCTTTATTCTTTTTCATTTTCTCCTCTTCTACGATACCCCTTCTCTCTCTCCGCTCGACGCCAACATTGCCACCACCCTACCTACCCGGTTCCGGCCACCAAATTGACGAAGGAAGGAGGCGGTCGACTCATCTCGTGCTGCTGGTCAAGTTTCCGGCCTTCTCGTCGACCAGCAAAGCCTCCTGCGTCGCAAATCGAAGCTGTCTCCTTCGACAACCCTCTCTCCCTCGATTTTCCGGCGATAGTGAGCTGCTCCGGCGACTCCTTTCACTTAGGTTAGTGGAAAATCAGTCCCTACCATTCTTAGTTAATCCTTCTTTGATTAATATGAGCTTTGAGTGAAGTTTTGATGGATTTAGAACTTGAGGATTAAAATGATTAAATTTGGGAGTTTAGATAAAATTGATTTAATTAGTAGAAATTGACATTAAATTGAAGCTCTACATGAAATTTGGATTAACTTAATGTTAAGTATGCTTGATACCGGGCCTGCTGCCACTCCGGCCACCGTGTATGGCGGTGGTGTTTCCGTTGACCGGAACTCTGAAGAGGCAGAATGTTGCACTTTTCATTTAGATTATGGATATCTAGTTAGTTTTGCAATCCGAGTTCATTTAACCTTCAAATAATTATTCGATGCAAGTTTAGACAGTTGGCTTTAAAGGCGAAATATCGCAGAAATGTGAATTATAGGTAAATTTTGTGATCTTATCCAATTTATGTTGGTTAGTTATCAAAGTACGTATAATTAAATGATAAGAATTAAGATATTTAGATAGCTTTATATATCAATAGAATATTTTACCCCTTTTATGAATAAAATTAAACTTTGTAGTATATGATATTTATGTTAACAGGTTGTACTTAGTTATTAGTTACACTAGGCAGAATGCTCCGTCTGATGTTTAGGTCGTGAATGAGTAATTAGTCTGCAATTAGATGCCATTCGATACTTGAAATATTGATCGATGCAATTAGACAAATGGGTCGAAAATCACAGAAGTCAATAAAACAAGAGTTAAGATAATCCTAGAAAAATGTTGTTAGCTAATTAACTGAAGTAATCATTTTTAATAATAGCTAGAAGTGATCAATGGTTTGAAATAAGCATAAGAGTAAGGTTCTAGCCCGTTAATGGAATACAAATTGCTAGTTTCTAGTAATTTTAAGGGTATCATTACCAGCATATTAGAAAATCCCCTCATTCGGCTACAGAAACATAGGTAGCTTGCTGCTCACCTCATTTTTGATTTTCACTTGCATCATTCAAAAATAAGGGAAATTTTCAGTTGTATCATTTAAAAATAAGGGAAAAACTTACTTATTTCTGTTGAATCCATTCATATACTACACCAATCAAAAATAGATTTTTAATTAACCATTCACCGGAAGAAAAAACAGTATAAAAAGTTTCCATCTTTCACAGTTATTTACCACTCCCTATATCTCTAGGTTCTAGGGATTTTTTTGGAAGGTAAGAAAATTTTGGGAAAAGAAGAATGTTGGAGACTAAGTTTGGTTTGTAACTTTGATTGGAAAAAAACAAAAAAGATTCATCTACGTAATTTATTACTGATTTTCTTTAATTATGTATGGTTCTAATTATTTTCATCTTCTTCTTATATAAATCTGTTGTGCCTTTTGTGCAGCTTTCGGGGTTATTTTCTCCTCAACTCCATTGTCTCTGTTTTAAATCATGAAATTCCGGTATGCCATGGTTTGTTCATCGAATCAGAATCGGAGCATGGAGGCTCACTCTTTGCTCAAGAGACAAGGCTTTGATGTGGCCTCCTACGGGACAGGGGCTCATGTTAAGCTCCCTGGACCATCACTGAGAGAACCGAACGTCTACGATTTTGGAACCCCTTACAAGCAAATGTTCGATGATCTCAGGCGCAAAGACCCTGACCTGTATTGTCTTTCATCTTATTTGCTCCTCATTCTTTCTTTCTTTTCCCTTTTTTTCTTAGCTGTGTTTGGTTGCCTAGAAAATTTGGGGAAGGATAAGTGTTAGAAAAGAAAAGTTTCTCTTTGTTTATGGACCTCAGTTTCCTGAGCAAATATAGTGATAAAACTTTGTGATTTGATTTTCATTTTGATATTGCTTTGAATTCTTTAAACTGGGGGACTTGGTTAAAGTTAACCATTATTTATGGATACGCGACAGTTACAAGCGTAATGGCATACTGCCGATGCTGAAAAGGAATTCCTCTGTCAAATTGGCACCTCAACGTTGGCAAGACAATGCAGCTGATGGGTCATTTGATATAGTCTTCACATTTGAAGAGAAAGTTTTCGACATGGTTGTTGAGGGTATCAGCATCTTCCTTTTCCATATTTATGGTTTGTGTCATCTCAATTGATTTTATAGTATTTATTAATTGTTGTAGATTATGCACATAATTGATGAATGATCTGGTAAGCAATTGTTATTGGATGAGTCATGGGAATCCTTTGAACATCCAAGTAGGCTATGGCAATACTAAAAATTGTTGAAAACCTTCAACAAGCATCAGCAGACAGTAGGAAAGGAGAAGAAATTCATGATAATAGAAAAGAAAAGGATTTGATTTGTAAGCTTGTAAGCTTTGTCTTTCTTCAACCTTTGATGATCCTCCTATAGGCATATCTTTGAAGTCAAGGAGCAAGGGGCTTGATCTTTATATCAATATCTGATGCACGCGAATTCTCACTATAGAGCAATCTGCAGCTGTCAATAAATCTTGTAATCACAGAACTTATTGTTAGAATCATTCTACAGTTAGTACTTAATTAATCGATCATTCTTAAAGGGGTTCAAAGAGTAAAAGCTTGTTTTGGAGTTCTGTTTTGTCTTGTATGCCTAATCCAAACAGAGGAGAGGGTTTTTCCTATATGTAACATGGTGACCTAGGAATTAATGTGTTGAATTACTCTTATTGTTGGAATGGAAGATTATTGGCAGTTTGCTCCTTTGAACATAGCTATGGGATTTTTGGCTTCAAGCCTAAGGTTTTATTCTTATTATCCTAAACTCAGTTTAAGTGTCATTAAAATCTGCTATCCTATTGTTCCAGTGATTGGATTTATTATTCAATCAAATGATATTTCCATGAGATTTCAAAGTTGTGTTGATTTGCTTGCAGTGTTTTATACGCAATATCAGTACACACCTATAAAACACCATTATCTTAAATGTATGTTCACGTCGGACACTTGTCCGACACTTTCTTGACATGACATGCCATGGTCCTGTTGTACGTGTCGTGCTAGTTTTTGTTAGAATAGGCGTGTCGACGTATCTGTGTCGTGTATGTGCTTCATAGCTACATGCATATGAATATTGATATTGAGCGACTTTCTTTTAAGATAGTTTTCTTATGTTTATTATATTTGCTTAAGCCAGTTATTTAGAAAAAGATTATGTGCTATGTTGAGGAAAATATTTGAGGAAATATGAGACAATAGTAGACACACACATATAAAATATTAGTGAATAAGCTCATAATTATAACACTAGTCTAATTGGCATTGGGCTGTATTGGTTTTTCCCCCATCTTTCTTCTTCATTGACTGAGGTTCTTGTTATAGAGAACTCTAGCCATGAAACCTTTCTTAACTCCTCTTTGAGTCATCTTAGGTCTATAGGTTGTCTTCTTCGCAAACAAACTACTTGCGTATTTGTCAATTGTCTTTTTCCAAGTTGCCAATAATTGATAAATTATCAGATAACAACAGGATTACTATAAAAGCAACACACAAAAAAACATAAAAAAAGTACCTTGATTTTTCTGTTTTATTCTATTGTCTGTTTGGCTTCAATGGAAAGAATCTGCTAGCATAAGGCCTTGAGAGTTTCTTGCCCGTTTCCTTTTTTCCTAGAAAATTTTCATATGATGTCTTTATTCAGTTTAATGAGTAAATATGTGCATGAGCTTACAAATGCATGAAATACTATGGCCAAGATGGAAAATTTTACTCTCTATGCAGAATAAAATTCTTCCAAAAGCTGAAGGTTATGGTGGTATGGTTTGTCCTGCTTGATTTTATGCATGGTATAATTCCAAGTCAAGTAATTTCTGTAGTTTTGTAATTCAATGATTGAATATATTCTATGTATATAAAGATTTGATCTTAAAGCTCAAGTGGTTTTTAACATAATTATTTGAGCTCTAATGGTAGTATACTGATATTTAGCAATTCGAGAGGAATCTCTCCGAGTTATTCTCAAACAAAAAGAAACAAGGAGTTGTCCCAATAGAGCTCAGAGCAGCGAGAGAAACGATTAATCTCTAATATTTATAATTTTGGTACACTGAAATTTCAACATATGTTGGTTTGCTTATTTGATCAATTGCGATGAAAATATGCAGATCTGCATAATCGGGATCATGTTCTAATGAAAAGTGTTCTGGTGATCAACTTGGAAGTGAAAGATAACCATGAAGAGGCAGCCAACGGAGCTCGACTTGCTTTAGACCTGTGCCAAGAGGTGGGTTTATTGCTTCAAACTGGTGACATCTTATGTCTGATGTTTTATTATTTGATGGATTTGGATGGATGTCTAATTGTGATGTACAGATCGACGCAGTGGATTCATGGGAGGATTTGATCGATGAGATCATAACTGCATTTGAGACTAAACACAGACGGAAGCTCTTATACAGTATCTCCTACTACTGAAGATGTCTCAGACTTACCTAATCTTTATATTAGTGTTTAGGTAACTAATCTGTAAAGTTATCAAATTTTGTTCTATCATAATTATAATTTTAAGAATTTTGCTCCATTCTTTGTAGTTGGGATTGTGAAGTTCTAGTTTCTCCATTTTGGATGTTCTTCCACAACGTTACTTTGGCTGATAATAGTTCTAAGGTGAGACTGAGAAGGTCGATGAACTACTTTTATTTTTCAAATTTTTACTGACTCTTTCTATAGCTCGGCGATCTGAGTGTTGCCTTGACGAGGTGGATAACGAGCTTGATCATCCCTAAAGACAAAAAGAAGGATTTGAATTTTTTTTTTTTTTTTTTTTTTTTTTTTTTTTTTTTTTTTAATGAAAAATTGAATCAAATAGTTTTAACAAAACAAAATTAGGTCATACTAAAGGAAAACTCAAAACATCATCAGAGTTTACCAAATTAGTAGGTAGCTTGAGAACCTAATGAATTAGTGTTTTATAGTATTGAACTAAATTAAATACAACAATCCACAAACCATCGACAGAACTAAAAATACAACAATTTAGATCAACACATAATCCAGAAACCCAGTTCAAATTCATTAAAACCAACCATGCAAATCATAGTTAAAATTTGCAAACATTTCATGTCACTCAAATTAAACCAACCCCAAATGAAAATGACAGGTCGAAGTGATTAAGATTGTAAAAATGCCCTCAGTGCCTCAATATTGACCTGAGTAAGGTGAATCTCTTGAGGAAGAAGATGATACTTGATCCCAAGATTCTCAAAAAATCTTCTTCAGTTCCAAAATTAGCTCCGAAGTGCGAATATTCCGTTCACTGTAGTTCTGATAGTTGATGGTATGTTGGACATATAAGGCCATTTTCAAAGAGTGTGCTTTGTCTATTTCTTTCACCAACACCGAATGTTTTGGATTCCAATAATTTGGTCTGCTTTCAATGTATCTGCATTCACAAAGCCATCTCTGATTTCTTTCCACTTAGACTAACATGGTTGATAACTTATAAATATATTTTTATGATTAAGCGAAAATAGAAAGAGTAGACTTACAATTGTATGGCTTTCTTGAGAGCAAGAATAGTGTCCATAGAAGTGGAAATATCAATGGAAAAATCAATACCATCACACATCTCTGGACTTCTGTAGAAGTTGCTGATTGGCTTTGTGAGCAACACTGTTGTTAGGATATTCATCTCTTCTACTATCATCTGTCCATCCATGCACACATATACATATATATAGTTCTTCCTTTCACCCAAAAATAATAATTTAAAGGATTAATTATTTCATTCCATAAATTTTAATCTAATGCATAAGTCATGATCTCTATTTTTATAACCATTCTTAAATATTTCTTTTCTTCAACTATTTATTTACTAAATGAATCATTCAGAAACAAACTAAATGTTGGCTTTATGTACACCAAAACATACTCTAATGGCAAGTGTAGGTAAGTGTACATACGACATGACAATAGATTCAGGTTGGAATCCTCCCTTCCCAACTCAAAAAACAAAAAATTTATTGTTGGCTTTATAATTTTTTTTTTAAAATTCTATTTTGCTATGTTTATAATTCAGTCCGCACTAATTCTAATTAGTAGATATTTTGAGATAACTTTCGACTATGTAATATTTGGTCTATCTCTTCTCACTGTCAACATATCACACTTGCAAACTGGGGTACATCCAAGCCTATGATCAAACCATCTTAGGCATCAGAGCCAGATCTAAGAATTTGGGGGGGCCAAAATAAATTTTTTAAAAGTTAGGGCACCAAAATGAAGAAAAAATATTTTGTTCTCAATTATGAAGCAAATTTAAAAATTTTTGGAGTTTTAAGAGGGCTAGGGCTCCGCAGTTACCGCTCCCTCGCGTCTGTCAGACATCATTCTCTTATTTTATTTTCAACTTGTAGATTAATTATTATTCAATTGTTGAATTTTATTATAATAAAGATCTTGATTGGTGAATCGACACACACTAAAATAGTAATTCATCTTAAAACTCTTCCATAACCTAGAAATTTCACCAACCTGGACGCCATCGACAACGCAACGATCTCCAATATCAAAAGGGTGCATGATGAAGACGAAGACAATAGACTCAAACATAGTCTTGCTCATATTTTGGAAAACGACACCTAAAACAAGAAGTTGAGTACCCACAAATAAAACGACCATGACGTTTGCCACCTCCATTACCAATAGAGTGACAACTATTATAATCACAACAACTAATGCACTTGCTGGCTTGTGAAGTTGTTGCACTGCCGTTTTGGTATCATTGAGTGAATGCGATAACGATTTTCTTTCGAAATAAGCTCGAACCTAATTAACATCATTATTACCAAATTAATTAAATAACTTTCAATTAGAAAAAAAAAAAAAAATTAAAACTTACCACCCAATTTTTGAATGCAGATTTTGATATTTTTCCAGTCTCTAAGGCTCCTTGAAAGAGTGGAAAAATGGTGTGAATTTCAATCTTCCTTAGAAACCGCATAAGATCTTCTTCCTCGATATACCTTCAAATATAAACACAATTTTTTTTTAACAAAAAATAAAAGGGATTATTAGGTGTGTTAGTCATTGTCTCCGTTGGCTCGGGCCATCGGCAGGTGTTGACGTCCCGATTTAAGACACTCCTATAAGGCGTATCGACCCCCTGAGCACTGGTGGGAGACCTTGCCCCTTCCTCCAAGATCATGGCGTGCGATTCTCAACCCATGATAATAAAAGTCCGGTCTGAGGAGTCCTCAACCAATGATAATAAGAATCCGGCCTGAGAAAGCCAACCTCAAGTGGGCCAAGCTTCTCGGCAGTAGAATCAATATAAACACAATTAAGTGCTATATTGCTAAATAAAATTAATATCTTCTTCTTCAATCCACCTCTACATTTATATTTATATTATAAAGATTCTTTAGCTTTTAACTTTTTAGGTAATTGAGTCTAGATCTATTCAATTATTTGCATATTCACAACACAACCACTTTTTTTATTTAAAAATTATATTACGTTACATTCTGTTAAATAGATATAAGATAAATACATAATAATAGATTGATAGGTGATTTGCGTTTCTAGTTTTATATTTTAAGAATTGGTTAGGACAACATTAAACTATGATTATTGAAACTGAAAATTAAAATACAAAATGAAAGAAATATAAACAAACATTTTATAATTTAATTGAAAATAATGTTTTTAAAAGTAATTAAATAGATGGTTAAGAATCTCGCAAATTCAAATACCAAATCCGCATATAAGGTTGAAAAGCTAGCTAGTTAATTTGTAAATTAACTTTTCAGTATTGGTTGTCCAGGCCAAAATATACTTACATGTTTGATCTTAATATATAGGTTTTAACAGCCTTTTACCTATTCATTGTACTTAGATTGGGATTTTTTGCTTTCTATGATGAGAAAAATGGGGTTCAAAGATAGATGGCGTGGTTAGATTAATGAGTGCCTTCGGTCCTTTAAATTATTAGTTCTAGTCAATGGATGTCCTATCAATGAATTTCAAGCGTCACGAGGTCTAAAACAAGGAGATGCATTGTCCTCTTTTTGTTTCTTATTGTAGTTGAAGACTTCAACCTTTTAATGAGGAATTCTATTAGGAACGGATACTTTCTGGGGTTCAAGTAGGAGCTGATTCTATCACTATTTTTCATTTGCAATTTGCGGAGGATTCTATTATTTTCAATCAGGTGAATGTAAATGAATTGTGCAATTTGAAAAGGGTGCTAAACTGTTATCAAATATTATCAGGCCTTAGGATAAATTATTCAAAAAGCAGATTATTCGGTGTTAATATCTCAGAAGATGATCTTAGTTGCTTTGCTTGGATTTTGAAGTGTTTGCCTGGTTCTCTACCAACTCATTACCTAGGCATTTCTATTGGTGCTAATCCAAAATGTCTTTCTACATGAAATCCTGTAATTGAAAATGTAGAATCTAAGCTTTCTCGATGGAAAGCTAAACACTTTTCAATGGAAGGAAAACTAACTTTGTTGAAATGAGTCTCGTCTTCACTTTTGCTATACTACATGACTATCTTCAAAGCTCCTCAAAAAGTAATTCAAATGATTGAATCTATCTTGAGAAGCTTGTGCAAAACCACTTAATTGGGTAGCATGAGATACTGTAACTAAAAATAAAAGTCATGGAGGCTTAGGAGTGCCCATCTTAAAAAGAAAGAATATAGCTCTTTTGGGTAAGTGGTGGTGGAGATTTAAAGTAGAAATTTTTTTTTTTTTATGGAAACGAATTCTAGTTTCTAAATACGAACCGGATGCATCATTAAAATCAAGTGTAGATTCTTTAGCTTGGAAAGAATTTCTCCTTATTGGAAAGATGTGGTAGACATTGGGTTCTAACAAAACTTAGAAGCTAAATTTTTAACAAAGGTGTTTGTTGGATTCTTAGAGATGGTTCATAGATACAACTCTGGCATAACATTTGGTTAGATGAAATACCACTTAAAACTAGCCTTCACAAATTATTCAGATTGGCTTTCGACAAAAAGGCTTTTGTAAGGAATTATGGTTTCATCTTTAATGGTGTGTGGCGTTGGAAGCTAGAGTGGTTAAGGGAGTTAAGATCCTTTGAAGAGGAACAATGGCAATAACTACAAACTCTATTACAGCCTATTTCCGTATTCCAACAAGGCAAGGATAGAATAGCTTGGATTTAAAAGTAATTCTCCGTAAAAAAAATTTTACTCTTTATTAGATTCAATTGTGACTGGGCAATCTGATATGAGTTTCAATTTAAAATCTTTATGGGCACTTTTAATTCCTTTTAAAGTAGCAATATTTGTTTGAAAAACATATCTAGATAGAATTCATTGTAGGACTTATTTACTAAAATGTAAACTATTACAAATAATGAGAGTAGCTTTTGCCCTTTATTAGAGATGGTTCATAGATACAACTCTGGCATAACATTTGGTTAGATGAAATACCACTTAAAACTAGCCTTCACAAATTATTCAGATTGGCTTTCGACAAAAAGGCTTTTGTAAGGAATTATGGTTTCATCTTTAATGGTGTGTGGCGTTGGAAGCTAGAGTGGTTAAGGGAGTTAAGATCCTTTGAAGAGGAACAATGGCAATAACTACAAACTCTATTACAGCCTATTTCCGTATTCCAACAAGGCAAGGATAGAATAGCTTGGATTTAAAAGTAATTCTCCGTAAAAAAAATTTTACTCTTTATTAGATTCAATTGTGACTGGGCAATCTGATATGAGTTTCAATTTAAAATCTTTATGGGCACTTTTAATTCCTTTTAAAGTAGCAATATTTGTTTGAAAAACATATCTAGATAGAATTCATTGTAGGACTTATTTACTAAAATGTAAACTATTACAAATAATGAGAGTAGCTTTTGCCCTTTATGTGAGAAGGATAATGAATCGGTGGATCATTGTTTGCTAGCTTGTGATTTAGTATAAAATGTATGGAACTCGATTTTCAGATGTTGGAATGTTTCTGCAGCTTTACCTAAGACGTTTGTTCAATTAGGCTGATAATGGGAAAGCTTATTGAAAAATAACAGGTATAAGGTAGCTTAGATCTTGATTTTTTTGTTAGTTCATGGACTTTGTGGCTTAGGAGAAATAAGACAATTTTCAATTCAAATATTCAGAGTTGCGATGAAGTTGTAGATAGCATAAAATTCAGAAGTTTTGAATATTTAAAAACTAAGTTTCCTTCTATTTCTTGTGATGTAAGGTATTGGTACTGTCAACCTCAAATTGTGTCTTGTGATAGAGTTTTCATTAAGAAATCAAAATCTATTTTGAAAGCTGAGGTGGTGTGGGAACGTCCTATTGGTAATAGATATAAGTTCAATGTTGATGGAGTTTCAAGAGGAAAACTAGGTCCTGCTAGTTTCAGTGGCGTGCTAAGGAATAATAAAGGTGAGGTAAAGTGTCTATTTTTTCAATCAGTCGGCATTATTGACTTTAATGAAACTGAACTAAGAGCAATTTTTAGGGCTATAGAATTGTTTTCTTAATCTCAATTCAAACTCTCGTCGTTAATTGTTGAATCTGATTCAAAATTTACTGTATGTTGGATTTTAAATAAAGAAAAAAGACCTTTGAGGTCTAGATTATTATTCAATAGATTTGACAACATATGTGTATCTTTATGTTCGATTCTATTCTTATATATACAGAGAGAACATAATCATTTTGCAAATTCACTGGCTAAAAAAGGAGTTAAAACACATGAAGATTTTCTTGCTTAGTTATAATACTCCAAAGAAACATATGTAAATCTTTTGGACTGCAATTCTCAATATGATTGGTTGTGAAGACACTTTGCTACAGGTGGGCTGTAATAGGTTTTTTATTTTTATTTTTTATTATTATGACAATTTAATTATTAGTTGTATCGAGAGTTTTGGATAGTTTCTGATGTTTTCCAGTTTAATATATATAATATTTTAACCAGATTTTTTTACTTAATTTATCTAGATTAAATCCATATTACGTTGGGTGTAAATGGAAGGCCTAATAGCTTTGGATAGTTCTCGGATAAAATAAATTTTTTCTTGAAAATATAATTGAATAAAAAGTATTTTTGCTGATAATAATAATAATAATAATAATAATAATACTTATTTCATATCAAGCCAATTAAAAAAAGGAATTAATAAGCAATACTCTTATTTGAACAAGAATATTATTTACAATTAGTTTAATATGTAGGTGAATTGGTGTAAGTAAATCTTTTTTAATAAACAGTTTTTTTTAATATTATTATTAAAAAAGAATTGTAATTGTACCTTTCCACTTTGAAGTGAATTATAACAAAACTGGTGGTGGTCCTATTCCTATGCGGTACTCGCAGATTATGAAATCTCCGTTAATTATGATATGCACTGCTCGCTCACAAGTAACAATCAATTGGGCTATCATTGCACGTTCACGGACAACATTCACAGACAAGTCACTGTAGAATGACCACCTTTCGTACGTGGACATGCACTACTTTGCTTTTCCAATTGCTCTCCACTTCCTCTAATGGACCCAACCCTACCACACATTTTGCAGTCAATGAGACATGAGTGATAGAACTACAAGGCAAACTAATTTTATCATCTCAAGGCTACATTTTAATTAGTTTCTATTTTAAAAAACAAAAATCCCTTTCAATATCCTAATCTTATATTACGTGTACAACAACTTTGAAATTTTTTGTACAGCCAGAAAATGTAATCTCCCTTGGTCCAGAGGATTTGCTGCTTGAATTAGAGAAAATTTTAAAAATTGTCCTTATTAATTTAATTTAATTTTTTTCAAAATTGACCCATTAGAATAATTTTTTGCCCCAATGAATTCAATTTCTAACTAAATAAAATTTTAAATTATGAAGATTGAAATTGCTTACCACTCCAATTAATATCCTGTTAAGAAAAACTTTCAAAATTTTTTTTAAAAATATAATAGCTTCTCTAGTTTTAATATATAGAGAGGATAATAAAAATAATAATAAAAAAATTCTTTCAATCTCTCGTTTCCATGTCACTTGAGTTATAATATATAAATTAAATCCTAAATTTTTATTAAAGCATTTAAATGTACACCTCAATTATCTAATTTCTCAATGCCTTATCACATGTGCAAAAATTTTAATTTTTTTATAATCTATTAATCCTTTTTTTAAATTTTTGGATTTTTAAATTTAACTTTTGTGCAATCTATATTGATAATTAAATTGAATTTGAATTTATGGACAATACTTGTTCTTTTCCAAAATTGATATTTCTCATCAAATTCACCTTCAGACAATTTTTATCACCAATTAAAAATTTGAAAAAAATAAAAAAAGAAAACTCCTGTAGAATACCTTCAAAAGTTTTTTAAGCAGTCAATAAATAAAACAAAAGTTTCAATGATTAGAAAGTTTAAAAAAAAAAAAAAAAGAGAGAGAAGCAAAAAAGCAAGCAAGCAGCAAGAAAGAAAGAAAGAAAGTCTATATAATCAAATAAAATTTGTTCACTTAAAAAAGCTTTTTTTTTTTTTTTTTAATTTGTTCATTAAAAAAAATCTTTTTTTTTTTTTTTTTGGTTCCTTTATTCAAACCATTGCTATTAAAATGCATGATTATTATGATAATATAGTCTCAAACATCAAACCCTAATTAATAAAATCCAAATGACTCGTTAACAAAGAATTTTTGGGTTTCATACATAACAATAACAATAATAATAATAAGAAGAAGAAGAAGAAGAAGAAGAAGAAGAAGAAGAAGAAGAAGAAGAAGAAGAAGAAGAAGAAGAAAGAAAGGAAGAGAAAGAAAGTCTTACTTGGCACCAGGTTTGGCAACGTTCTTAAAAATCCGTTGGCACTGCTTCTAGCTTCCGATTCACTCGTAATCTCCGATTCCGCCTTACCAAAATCATCATCATGAACAGTTTTCGTTATCGTCGACAATCCTGACGATTTCATGTAACTAACAAGTCTCTTCATACTCCATGCAGAAACTGTCTTTTCCATGCTCAACTGCCTTTGCTTCTCCACATCTATTTTTCTTGAACTCGATTTTTTCGACTTAACTCGTTTCTTGCCTGCGTTCTCCAACTTGCAGGCAGTGAGCTTGACCGAAGGTTTTGTTTTTTTTCCTCCACCGCCGGATGTAATTCCTCCATCGGAGGACCGGAAAGGGTTTCAAGAATATAGTGATGGAAAACACTCTCTTTCATTCTATCAAAGTATGTTGTTACATGAAAAGATGAAGCTAGGGTTTTCACTAATGCAATCTTTATTAGCCAAATTATTGCGGCTAATAAAATCGCTACCAATGCTTGAAAAACTTTTATCAGTATTCTATTTTCTTTGTGAATATTCTGATTGAACAAGTCCATGCAAGAAGAACAAGTCCTAACCAGTTGCAGTTTGTAAGCTTTTTCTTAATCCATAAACAAAGTATAAAACTTTCTCTCGTAGCATAAAGTTTCTTTCAAGAAAGAAAACTAGAATACTCATAACCCAACAAGAAACTAAACGCCCACAAAACGTCAGCGTAATCATTAAACACCATTTCCATATTTCGAGACCCCATTTGTGCTTGTTTTTTACTGATTTTAATTGTAAGGGAGCACATTAAGAAAGTTAATATTGTCAAAACATTACCCATTCAAAAAAAAGTTTCAAAGGAAGCTTGCTCTTCTTCTTTTGGTACTTTTTAGGTTTCATTTCTCCATTATTACCTTCACTACTACTCGATGCGTCGTCCTCGTCGTCATCTTCACTTTCATCTTCTTCCTGATCAGATTCTCCACGATGAATTCAGAATTTGAGTAGTTGTTGTATTCAACAAATCGAGATTTGGGTTTGGAAAAGCTTAGACGACGAAGGAGTTTTGTTGGGTTTTGAGGTTTTTCTTTTCTGGTGATATGGTCTTTAGTATTGGGTTCATTAGATCCATCCATGATTAGAATAACATCAGACCTTGTTCCTTCCATCTCTTCCTCCCTGTGTTTTGTGACTCTCCTTCTCTATCAATATGTGCAACTACCTATCCACTTATCGCATTTATAATATAAATTCTTTCCATAAAGAATAAAACCTATACGAGTGTGTTTTCATGGAGAAAAATAAAATAAAATAAAAATAAGAAAGAGTTTTTTAATTTAAAAATATTGCTCACCCTTTAGTGTATAGATAAGAAATTTTCAAATTTGGATACTTACGCACCGAAAAAGACTTATTTACACTAGATTTATAACACATTCAACAAATTATAAGTGTTCACCTGTTATAAGATTGTTACAAATTTACTTATTTGGGCTTATTAATTGTGTTTTATTTGATTTTATAAAATATTTAAGTTAAGCCTCGTAATCCAAAAAGTCTAATTTAAAGACTATTATTAAAGAGTGATCATCAAAAGTATTGATGGGTCAGTTAGATGTGTTTGGTTCAAGTGTGATTAAATTCTAATTTGGGTTAGGATTATATATTCTATTAGGGATACAACGGGAGACTAATAGTTTTTTATATATATAGGATATGTCCTATTTCTCTAGTCTACGCCGTCAAAACATAAAAATTATTCTCTATTCATTGGGAGTTTGTAGACATAGAGAAGAAGCACCTAGCTATTCCACAAAAAATTGTGTATGGCTGTTTCTATTTAATTCAATTGGGAGTTTGTAGACATAGAGAAGAAGCACCTAGCTATTCCACAAAAAATTGTGTATGGCTGTTTCTATTTAATTCAATTGGGAGTTTGTAGACATAGAGAAGAAGCGCTATTCCACAAATAATTGTATATGGCTATTTCTATTTAATTTAACCTAGCATTTAGGATCAAGACAGTGTTAATAGAACCAGAGAACCTGTAAGTTATTCTATTCTTTGTAATTTCAATTTATATATGAGTATCTTGGGTACTTAAATTCTAACAAAGACTACATTAGATTTAAAATTTATCAGGATATATAAGTCAAATATATTAATGTTTACATAATTTAAAATATAATGATTGATAATGTCCTTTTCGCATAAGATTAATTTATATAATGCTTTCAACCAATTTATAAATTCAAATCTTAATGTTTACATAGCAGAATAGATATATTGGACTATAATTGATAATCGAATTGGATTAAAAGAAAGGAAAAGTTACGATTTTATCCCCATATTTTACTTAAAATAACTAGCTTATCTTCGTACTTTCTAAAATACACTGTTTTTTCCTGTATTTTGTCTCTGTTCAATCACCATGCGTAATGTCCATTTTTCAACACTTTTACGTTTGTCAACTATAAAAATGAGAGTCAAAGGTAAGAGATAGAATGCTAGCCTTTGCTCAGGAACACTCTTTATTTTGGCTAATTTTCTATAAAAATGTAATAAAATTCTCCAAGATCAAGATCAAGTGAAATGTGATTGAAGGAAGCTTTAAACAAAAATATAAATAAAACTAAATAAAAACTAATTAATAAAACTAAATAAAAACTAATTAAATTAATTAAAAATACTAAAAATCCTAATAAAAACATATTAAAAATACTGTAAAAATAACACCTATCAAATTCAAAGTTCAATTGTTAATTTATTATTTTTAGTTTGCTAAGCTGGATGTCTACAAGCATCCAAATTAGTTAAATGGCCATTCTTAATTAGTTCTTTGTATATAAAAGAGATAGTGGGCGATAATCATAATATAATGGAATATACATATATTTTTTCATTTCTTCTAGCTATTCTTTTCTTTACTGCTATAAACACTTTCTATCGAGATTCTAATATTTCCGTTCATCTATGCTTTCGACATAAAATGTGACATCTGTTGTCTAATCCTTCTGAATTGAGTGTTACAATTGTCATGTATTATAACTTGGTTGTAGTAATTTTCTTTAGAACAGTTAATGGAATCACATTTGCCAAAACCATCATCATCGCGCTCATTGTTTCCACTTTCAGACTGCGACTGCGCTTGTTCTTCTTCCTCTTCTGTTGACTCCACCTCTTTACTAATTTGTTTGCGCTTCTTATGTAGTGGATGTTTAGGAAGTGACATTGATTTGCTTTTGGCCATATTTGTATTCTTACCTGAGGGTTTTTGAATTTTTTTTATGGGACTATTTCAATATTTAAGGGCTCTCCTTCATCACCATGGCATTACTTCTTTGATTTAGGGTTTCTGTTGGCTCAAGGGTCAAAATGCTTTTCTCGGATTTTGATGATTATTACAAAACAAATAAATTTAAATTATATTATTTGTGCTAATTTTATTTTATTGCTAATTTTATTTATTCATGAATTTCTTTTGGAAAGAAATTATACAAGGCAAGTCTCCATTGAGAAGTGAAGATTTTCGAAGATGCCTAGTAATCTAGGCTTTTTAGAAACTTTGTAGGATAGAGAGAAAGGTTACATATGAGCACAAAAATCTTTTTCTCTCTCAAAAGTATCTTTCGGAAATTAGTTTTTTTTTTCAAACTAACATTCTTTTATTTTTTTTCGAAATATTTCTTTAAATCGAAAAGATTTATTTTCCCTAAAAACTAAAGAGATTTCCTCTCCTAATGAATTTTGGTAATAAAATCCTTTCATCTTTTGCGGAAATATTTAATTTTGAAAGATCTAAAGTGTTTTTAGTTATTCACTTACCTTAAAGATGAAAGGAAAATCTCCTTCGGTCTTTTTGGTAAGTGCATCTTTCCGCAAATAAATTCTTTCCAAAATAAATGCTGTCAAAAATCTTTTCTAAAGGAAAGTGAAAATCGGGTTTTATTCTCTTATCAAAAAGGATGAAATAATTTTTGGTAACAAAGATTCTCACATCTTCTAAAATAAGGAAAGAAGATATTTTGTTTTCAATCTCTTTCCAAAAGTGACAGCTTTCTTGTTTCCTATATATAAAGGAATACTCACGCCTTAAACATTTGGTGAAGTAAGAGTAATTGTTTTAAGAGCACTCACTCTCATTGAACGAATCTTTTTCTCTCAAAACTTACTCTACCCCCCATTTTCTTTCATCTCTATACATAATGTCCTTTCACTTATTTAAAGTGAAAAGCAACTTTTTACAATTTTTCTTTTTGAAAAACAATTCTGTGTTCTAATCGATTTTTTCTAATCTGATAAAATTGTTTTTCCTGTGCCTATATAGGCGTTTTCTTTCTTGTCTTATTTAAGATTGTGTAATCTATAGTAGACAGGCTTCTTTATTTGTTTTAAAATTTGAGTGTAATAGCTTTAGGTTATGAAGGCTATTGAGATAGAGGTTATAAAGCGACCTTCTCCAATGTGTGGGATAGGCAATGTCTTGAATCGACGTTTTCTGTACTCTACAAAAAACAGAAAAGGGTTGAGGTTTAACTAGAACCTTTAAGAAAATCTAGTGGGACAACAAAAGGGTAGATCTAGGTTTTTGATCTATTGCCTTGTACTGTTGGTTTGTCTCTTACCCTTGAAAAGAGATAACTTAGTGGAGGATCTCAAGATGCTTCTTGGGGAGTGGATGTAGGCGAGTTAGTACCGAACCACTATAACTCTTGGTGTTGATCTCTTTATTTCTGTAGTTTGGTTGATACTGTCTCTTTCACACTCTTGTTTAATTTTTTTTTAAACGCTAAAATTGTTAATATTCAGTTGTTCTAAAACGATAATAAGCTTTATTAAGCTTTATCTTTACTGAACATTAGAACTCTGGTATTCTAATAAAGTGAATATACAATGTTCTAACTGTTGTTCTATTTCCAGTATAATTTACTGATTGGGTTTCAATTTAATTTTCTAAACTTTATGAGGAAGTTCTAATCACGATAGCTTTCCATCATAAAGTTATTCTGATACTTGATTAAGGTTCTGTGAAGAAGTTCTAAATTCAATAACTGTCTTTCACATAACCTTATATGATTTTCTAAATACTTTATGAGGAAGTTCTAATTTCAATAGCTCTCCTTCATAAAGAAGTTCTAATATTGTATAAGTCAGTGTGAAGCTGTTCTAATCAATAGCTGCATTCGCACAGACTTTCTTAATCTTTTATAATTAGAAACATTGTGAGGATATTTTAATACCATATTCTATTCTCACAAAAGTTCTGTGGTTTTTCCGCTGTTGCTTTAAAATTCTAATTCTTGATTAGAATTCTAAAATTTATTTCAGATTTTAATTCTTGATTAGAATTTCTAAAATTTATTTCAGATTTTAGAAAACCCAATTCACCCCCCCTCTTGGGTTGTGCCATATATATTCGGGACCCACAGTTTCTTTTGCTTGATTTTGTCTGGGTTATTGGTTTTGCCCAATTTCTTCTTACAAGAAACTGATTTGAAGAGT